AAAAAAAAAAAATGTAGCCAGGATCCCATGGGAATATAAAATAATAATATCACAAGCAGGTCTCTTATAGCAGTATTCTGTTTAAGTGGCATTGTTCTGCATAAAATGTGATTTCCATGGCAGCTCATGGTGTATTTACAGAGGGTCAAAGGAAATCATTGTGATGAGGCAGTCAAATTGCTTGGCAACTATTAAAGCATTGACTTGAAGAACAACTAATCTATTGTCTTAGAAACAATTTGTGAAAATTTCAGGGAATGATATTTCACGAAATAGGGATATATCCAGGTCGTTTGTTTTAAAAATGTTCTGGACTGTTCAAAGTAATCAAAAACAACATAACCACAGAGAAAGAACTATAGTCTACTTGCTAACACATCCTTAAATTTTATAAGTTGGATTTTAAAAAATACTTAAAATGTATACTTAATTCCTCAAAAAATTAAAAACAGAATTATTGTATGATGCAGCAATTCCACTTCTGAGCATACATTCAAAAGAACGGAAAAGATCTTGAAGAGATGCATGTATTTGTACACTTATGTTCACAGCAGCATTATTCACAATAGTCAAGATGTGGAAGCAACTAATGGTTGAATGGATAAAAAAATGTGGTATATACACACAACAAAATATTATTCAGCCTTAGACAGGAAGGAAATTCTGACCCATGCTATAATACGGATAACCCTAAAGAACATTATGCTAAGTGAAACAAGCCACTCACAAAAAGACAATAACTGCATGATTCCATGGTATCTAGAACAATCAAACTCATAGAAACTGAAACTGGAATAGTGGTTCATAGAGCCTGGGAGCAGATAAGGAGTTAATGTTTAAAAGGTACACAGTTTCAATTTTGCAGAAATGAAAAAGCTCTAGAACTTGGTTTCACAACAAGGTGAAAGTATTTAACACTACTGAACAGTACATTTAAAACAGTGGATGGTGGATTCTTACGTTATGTGTATTTTACTACAATTAAAAATAAAAAAAATTTTTAAATGCACACTGAAATAATCTTAGAAATTGATAACTTTCCCCAAGAAATGATGTTTCTTCAGTTAAGTAAGAAGCAACATTTCAATCAGACCAACGTCATTAAATATAAAAATGGTATAAGAGATATATCTCTAAAGTGGTGTTATGTAAATATTTAAAACTCACTAGAACACATGCCAGGATACACTTCAAATGGGTCAAAGAGTTCAATGTAAAACGTGAAACCAAAGATTTAAATATAAAATATAAAGTATGAACACACACAGACTGACACAGAAAATTCCTTTCTAAACTTGGGGTGAAGTTTTCTAACTAAAACTTAAAATCTAAAAGCCATAAAAGAAAAGACTGCTAAAATTTACTACTTGAAAATAGAAAAATGTGTCTATATGGCATTCTAAAATCCATGCTAAACAGATTCAAAACATCAATAACAAATCGGGGAACAAAATTTGCAATTCATATCACAGACACAAGGTTAATCTTCCTAATTTATGAAGAGTTCCTAAAAGTCCATTTTTAAAAGACACAAGATATAAACACAGAATTTATGGAAAAATGCAAATTAAAAGTACAGTACACTCATATATTACTTTTTTTTAACCCATCAGATTTGCAAAAAAATTACAAAAGTTTAACAATACACTCAGTTGGCAGGCTACAGGGATACACATTTCTTTTGTGAGAGTATAGATTGGTATAACCCAACTAGACAGCAATTTGGCAATGTATATCAAAATTATAAATGAATTTACACTCTGATTTCACAACTCTTCCTGGCAATTGAACCTACAATCATACCTGTGCCCATATAAAATGGTGTATGTATCACTATTAATATCAACATTGTTTGTAATTATAAGCCATTGGCAACAATCATGCATCCGTTAGTAGAGGATGTGGTAAATAAATGTTGGCATATCCATAAACTGGAATATTATGCAGCTGTAAAAGAGAAAATGCTGAAGGTACCGATTCATAAAGATATTGAGATATATTAAGGAAAGAAGAAAAGCAAAATGCAGGGCCAACCGCGTGGCTCAGCTGGTTAAGAGCTCGCTTGGGAGCACGAGCTCTGAGCAGCAGGGCTGCGGTTCGGATCCCATTGAGGGCCAGTGATGCTTGCCCGCTACAGCTAAGATGATGAACAACAGGTTGACCTGGAGCTGGGCTGCCGTGAGTCACCGGCGATGGTGTAGGCTACAGCAAGGCTGCAGTGGGCTGCCGTGAGCTACGTGAGTGGCTGGCAGCCAGGATGAGCGGCTGGTAGCCAGTGTGAGCTACCGGGAGCCGCTGTGAGCAGCCAGCCAATGACCGGCAACCAAGTGCCTCACCAGGGAAGAGCGCAATGACAATACCAACATGGGTCAGTGAAGCGACATCCTCCACAACTAGACTGAAGAACAAAAGGACAGCAACTTGTCTGTTTCCCTTCCCCAATTCCCCAACGCTGTTCCCCTCCCCCCAATTCCCCAATAAAATCTTTAAAAAAAAAAGAAAAGCAAAATGCAAAACAGTGCATATAGTATACTACCTTTTGTGTTGCATAAGAATATAAATTCATATTTACTTGTATTTGCATAAATGAATTCTGAATTGACATTCAAAAAACTAATAAAAGTGGTTAACTGAGATGGGGGCGTGGCTGGACTTAGGTAAGTGTGGGAAAGAGACTTGTATGTTGTTTTATATTGTTTTGATTTTTGGATTTTAAATTTCAAATTTTTTTTAAGTGCAAAATTATAAGTTGAAATTTAAAATAAATTTTAAATAATTTATTTTAAAAATAAACTTTAAATTTGTATAAATAAATAAAATCACTAAGGAACTCAACCTAAACTTAGGAGCACATGAGCCAAGAGGGCACTTATTTCTCAGATAATTTTTGGAATAATAAATTGAGCTCTAATTGGTTTCCTTAAGAAAGTTTTTCCAAGGAATCATGTTTCTCAGCCTAAATAAGGGATGACTTTTTAAGCAGAGCAAGATCATTTAAATAGAAAAAAGTGGCAGGAGATCTGTTACTAAAGTCTGCAGAGCTGCCAGTGGCCAGAACAGGTGGTGGAGCCACGGCAGACCAGAACTGATGTCTACAGGACAGGTGTTTATTGGTTTTCAATCCTGACCAGGGGAACAACAGAGAACCTGTAAAGTCAGGACAGAAAAGTCCTTTTCTACATTGTTACTGTTTAACATTAATAAAGTTTCCAAAGGTTACATTTTAATAGACTATATCAAGAAATATTTACAAAGTCACATGTTTTGTTAATAAAGACATTTGCTAGGTAAAAAGAAAAAGTGGCCTATTTCCAAACCTCCTCAGATGGATTACACAGAAGAGTGGGAACCTAGCAAAATCAGGTTCAGGTTCTAGATTAATAGGTCTTAGAAAATGAGTTTCTATCTCATCAAGGGCCTATGTTCCATCACACCTCCAGTCATGTCCAAAAACACAGCCAGCCACAAAAACACCTCAGCCCACTCCAGCATTTACAATAATGCCACAGTGACACTGCAGCTGGGCCCTGGGACCATGTCCCCCGCAAAAACAAAACCATGGAACACTTTGCCATTTCCCCCCAACTTCCATATTTAATCCTCCTTTACCAAATAAAATCAACTTACCCTGCCTTTGTTCTTCCAAGGGCTCTTTGCCTGTAAAGTATCCTTGTAATTTTTTCTGGATGTCTTCTAGGTCATGCAGAATGTCTTTCATTTTTCCCTCAATTGTGTTGGAAGTCCCTAGCTGTGGAGAAGCCAATGAAAGATCCATCCCACCAGAAAAAGCCTATTGATGAATCATAAATAAACAAACAAACAAATAAACAAATAAATAAACAATGAAAGCCTCCCCTGGAATGCATCAAATAGTATATTCCAGTTCTGACATCCATCTATAATTTTCCACTTACTTCCTAACAAGGTTTTTGGTTTTTCTTAAGCAAGAAAACATTATTTATTTGTGCAAATGCAAGTGGTTTAGAGAGCCATAACTTTTGCTTAAAGGCCATACAATGTCCCAGTTAGAACGTGTTACAAGAGTAGAAACACCTCTGTGTACCCTAAGTTTCATTACTGACTTTTGTTGAAAATTTTCTTTTAAAATATTTGTTTATTCATCTTTCTTTTTTTTCCCCTATTTTTTTATTAGTTTCAGATGTACAAAACAATGTAATAGTTAGATGTTTCACCCCTCACAAAGTGATAACCCCCTCCCCCAATCTATTGCCCCTCTGACATCGTATATATCTATTACAATTCCACTGACTCTATTCCCTATGCTGTTCTCCATATCCTGTGACTATATTATATATATTATATATATATATATATATATATATATATATATATACACAATTATATTATTCAGCTTCAGCTTCAGGTGTACCGCACATTGGTAAAACTTGTTTTAAAACAACTTTTAAAAAACATAATTAGGCCATCAAAATGGCATGCCTTAAAAGCAATCTGAGGGCCGGCTGAGTGGCTCAGTTGGTTAGGAGCTCGCTCAAGAGTTTGAGCTCTGAGCAACAGCGGTTCAATGCCCGGCCCGAGCTGGGTTGCCGCCGAGCTGCCAAAAGGTGGCAGGATGGCTCAGCTAAAAAACAAACAAACAAAAAAAACCAATCTGAATAATACATAGCACAGCAAAAATATTAGAGTGGTTATTTCTGGGTGGTGGGGTTATGGATGATTTACATTTGTTTTCTTCAAACTGCTTTGTATTTTCTAGTATTTTGTACAATAAATATGAATTTCTTAGGTAATACTAAAAAACATTAAAAAATTTTTAGGCCCATATTACAGGGACTTTACAGAATGAATAATACAGATAGTCACTGAGATAAACCTCAAAGGCCAGAAGAATCTTCCCCAGGCTCTATCATTATATCACATCTCTTCTAAGAGCCAATGTAAACATGTCTCCTACATCTAGGCCCTGTTTTCTGAGGCCTCCAACACATGCTCCCTGATTTTCTTTAATCTCAGGTCCTATTAGTCCCCAACACAGCCTCTCATCTGCTTGCCACCTTCTCACCTTCAGCGCCTGACTTTCCTTCCCATCTTTGCATAATCCATTTCCCATTCTTTTCACCAGTCATAATAGTAGTAGGCACCACCTACTGAGTATAGTCCAATGTTCACCTCTAATCTGTGTAACAACCTTCCAAGGTAGGTTTATTATCCCCATCTTACGAAAGAAGCTAAAGTTCAGGAGGGTTAACTAAATTGCCCTAGTTAAGTTTATCGTCTTACATTTCCACATTGTTCAAGCACTTTTTTATACCAGATCCCTTTTAATCCCCACATCATATCAATGAGGTGGCAGGCCTCATTATTCATATTTTACAAATAGAAACCTGAGACTCAGAAAGATGAAATGACTTGCCCAAGGTCACAATACTAGTGAGTGGCAATGTCAGGTCTGAAAGTCAGACTCTCAAACTTCCCACCCTTACCCATTGTATCCCTGAAGACCCACTTATTCACTCACAGTCAGTGGGTATTTGTTGGGCACTTACTTCATGTCAAGCACTGAGATAGGTTTGCGGATATAAGGGTGAACAAAAGAACAAAAGCCAAGGGGTGACCGGTTAGCTCAGGTGGTTAGAGCATGGTGCTGCTAACACCAGGTTGCCGGTTCGATCTCCACATGGGCCACTGTGAGCTGAGCCCTCCTTAAAAGAGTCAACTATGCCATTGGAGCATGAAAGCAATGTGTAACCAAGGACCATGGCTGTTCCCCAATTTAAAAAAAAAAGAAGAAAAAGAAAGAACAAGAGCCATTAAGGTCTCTACCCCCGTGAAGCTTAGAGTCCAGTGCAAGGGAAGAGGAAGGACAGGCATTAACAACTAATGGCACCAATCATTATCAACTTGCAACTGGGATAACTGCTACAAATGAAAGGTATATGGAATCATAAAAGCCTCTAATAGGGAGATGTGACTTGTTCAAAGAAAGTAGTGAAGGTTTTCCTGGGAAAGTGATCTAGCTGGGGTCTGAAAGATGAGCAGGTGACACCTAGGTGACAGGGTGAAAGAAGAACATTCCATGGTGTGCACCCTGTGGTGGGAGAAAGTGTGACACTTGGAGGGCCTATTGTGAGCCAGTGTGGCCGGAGCTTGGAGAGCCAGGAGGAGTTGGATGAAAGGAGAGAGGCAGACAGAGTGGGATCCTGCGGGGCCTTGTTGGTTCTGTGAGGATTGAGGTCTTCATCCTCCACAAACAGATGTCACTGGAGTGTTTTAAGCAGATGAGTGACATGATCAGATTTGTGTTTGAGAGGGTCATGCTGATGACCCCGAGGAGAGCAAAGTAGAGGGACTGGAGTGGAACAGTCAGGAGGCTATTGTAGCAATCCAGGCAAGAAATGATCATAGGCTTGGATTAGCGAAGTCTCAAGGGGGCTCAAGAGGAGTAAATGGATCGAGAGATGTTTTGACAGGTGAGGGAGGAGGTGACATGATTCCCAGGTTTCTGGCTTGTGCCCTTGGAAGAAGAACAGCATCAGTCAGATGCGGAATCCCAGAGGAGGAACAGTTTGGGACATGTTAAGTGTGATGCGTCTTTGAGATACCAAGAGGAAAAGATGAGAAAGGAGCTATCAGACTAGAGCTCAGAGCCAGGGCCCGGCTGGAGCGATGTTTGTGCTAATTAGAGCCATGGGCGTGGAGAAAAGAAAGGGACCTACAACTTAGCCTTGAGGAATCCAGCATTTCACTGCTGAGCAGAGGAGAGTAACCCTACAAACAGACTGAGAAGGAGCATCCAGAGAGAAACAGAGGAAGGTTGGAAGACTTATGTTACAGAAGTTGAGGCAAAAGAAAGCTTCGAGAATGAAGGTGTGATTACCTGCTGTGTTAAAGGCTGCTGAAAGACCAATGAGGATGAGGACTAGAGTGTCTGCAGGATATACAAAGAGGCTATGGGTGATCTTAGAGCTGGTTAGGTGAAGTGATAAGGATGGAACCTGGGCCGCTTGCAGCTTCCCTACCTCACCTCAAGCATCCCAAACGTCCAGCCATCCCTGTTTCGTAGTAAAGGGAATGCTAAACGGTTGAGACTTATTGAATCTTCCGACTGCAAACATATTCACGTTGCTCCAGTTGGAAGGTGTCCCTAGCCCCGCCCCCTGTCATATCCTTTCATTTCCCAGCTGAGCCTACCATGCCCAGGATGTTCAGTTTATTGTCTGGTCCAGATTCTGGTAGATGTCTCTGATTCTGAAGGCTCCTGACAATGTCTACAAGCTGTTCCACCAGTTCTCCCAGCTCATGACCAACTTCTGGGGTGCTCTTCTGTACCGCCGCCTTTAAAAGAGCAAAGCAGATCACAAAGCTGGACCCAGACGGAGGGTGAAGACTGGATAAAGAAACAGGCAAGAAAGTGACAAAAACATTCAGAGGACAAGGAGGTAGATTCCCCAGACGGGTGGCATGCCCATCTCCCCTACTGATCATCCTGTGGCCATAACAGGAAACCAGAGTCCATCTATGGGATAGAGGAAGCGGGTGAAGTGTGAAGGGAAGCCTAGGGGTCATTCTGAACAGGGAAAATCAGAGAAGAATTAGGACGGCAGTGTGGAGATCTGGCAGTGAGTGGGTGCAGTGGAGGGCATTTGTCTCAGATTTAAGCTCCACTCTTGCCTCTGGCTCGTCTTGTGTCTTCACCACTCCTTTCAAATATGAAAAAGACTATCCCTCCTCCTTTTCCATAGTGAAAAGGATCTACCTAACTATTGACTGGGAAAGGATCTTGGAGACTTCCCAGTGATGCACAGATGCAAGCTCTTTTTGTTTAGTGACATCCTTCACATTAGAAACAAAACAAAACAGGTGGGATATAAAACTGAAAGCAACACTGGAACAAGACAAACAAATAAACAAAAACTCATAGATACAGACAATAGTTCAGTGGTTACCAGAAGGTAAGTGGGGAGAGGGGAGAGTAGAAGAGAGTAACGGGGGTCAAATATCTGGTGATGCGAGGAGAACTGACTCTGGGTGGTAAACACACAATGTGATATATAGATGATGCATTACAGAACTGTACACCTGAAACCTATATAACTTTACTAACCATTGTCACCGCAATAAATTTTAATTAAGAAAGAAAAAACAACACATTCAGGAGAGAGCGCTAAACAGCTCCACTTAAAAGACTTAATCTGCTCAGCTGCCTGATTGGGAGTGGAATTAGTTTTGCAGTCAGCATATTCTGGCAACATCAAGACCTGGTGACAACTTTGCATTCCCTCCAAAGGGGTTCTATATAGTCACAGAAATATAAAGTGGTCAGCATTCAACTCTAAATAAACCAGAGTTTTTATAACTTTGTTTTGACATTTTTTCATTATTTTAAATTTTGCTGGAACCTCAAAAACTGGAATTGACCTAGGACCTTTTTCATTTCTTAAAAAAGCTCTGATGTCTCTCAAAATAACATGTATTTTGGAAGATATCACCAGGCTTTTTCGGAGAGGGAAGTGGCTGACCACTGGTAACACTGTTTGCTCTTAAATTTCCAGGCCCTACTCTTAATATTCAAGCAGCTGGAACTCTGGAATGGAGGGCCTTATCCAGGTGTCTGAGCAAATAAAAAACTTTAAAAAATAAGTGCATTGCTTTATCTATTCATAAGAGAAATGCACACTTATTGTGGTGAATTAAGAAAATGCAGAGAGGGCCGGCCGAGTGGCGCGTTGGTTAAGAATTGGCTTGGGATGCCAGAGGGCCCCAGTTCAGATCCCACATATGAGGACCAGTGACACTGCCCTCTGCAGTTAAGATGGTGAACGGCAGCTCGACCTGGGGCTGGGCTACTGTGGGCTACCGTGGGTGGCCGGCGACGGCATAGGCTGCAGTCCCCTGCTGCAGTCCCCTGCTGCAGTGGGCTGCCATAAGCTACCATGTGTAGACGACAGCGAGTGTGAGCGGCCAGCAGCCGCCA